GTGAGTTGAAGATGGTTGCACCTATTTGTGTGTGTATATGTGGGAAAGAGAAAGAGAGAGAGAGAGAGAGTGTGTGTGTGTGTGTGTGTGTGTGTGTGTGCATGCTCCTGCGTACTTCCTTACCTCTTTATAGTTGCAAAATACTTAGTCTCAGCTCTTGGCCCTGCATCTTCACATATTTGCTTGGTTCACTTCCAGTTAACCTTCTCAACCCATTCATAACTCTTCTCAAATCTATGCATAGAACCTGCCTCCACTACTTCCTTCACATCATTCCACTTCCTGATCACCCTGAAGCTGAACAAATGCTTCCTGACATCACTGTAGATCATCTGCATAGTTAATTTCCAACTGTACCCTAATGTACTTTATTTTCACCATTAAGACCATTGAGGATCTTCTTTTGTATCTGTATCTGTAGACTAACATTTCTTTTAAATGGATACACACACACACACACACACACACACACACACACACACACACACACAACACACACACACACACAGAGGAGCTGTGACTCGACCCCTGCAACCACAACTAGGTGAGTACACACACACACACAAGGGGATGTTAGGAAGTATTTCTTTAATCAGAGTTGTCAGGCAGTTGAATAGCCTAGAAAGTGACGTAGTGGAGGCGGGAACCATACATAGTTTAAGATGAGGTTTGATAAAGTTCATGGAGCAGGGAGAGAGAGGACCCAGTAGCAACCAGTGAAGAGGCGGGGCCAGGAGCTAAGACTCGACCCCTGCAACCATAAATAGGTGAGTACAAATAGGTGAGTACACATACACACACACAGAGGAGCTGTGAATCGACCCCTGCAACCACAACTGAGTACATGCACACATACACACACTCCCCTGGATGAGTACAAACCTATAAATAAAATTCATGACATTTATTACAACACTAAACCACTCACAGTGGAGTCAGTTATCCCATTTATTATCATTTGCAACTAAAAACTTCTTCTAAATGCCTCAATTTAACCGTAATTTGCATGTTAAATCACAGTGTATTAATTGCTTTATATGAGAGGTCTTCACGACAAGTGTACACACTGCAAGTGTATATCTGCTAGAATTAACAACACTCAGGTAATTAAAATATAATCGTTAATGTCTTGGGCCAAACATTCGCTTTTATATATTCCGTTTAAATTGATTAATGGAGCGTCTTTGTAGTGTCAGTAACTAGGCAAGAGTGCCAGAGAGTGGTGTGTGTGTGTGTGTGTGTGTGTGTGTGTGTGTGTATGGGAGAGAGACAGGATAGACCGAGGGCCCTGAATCTGCTCCCTCTAGAAAGGCGTAGAATTAGGGGAGATACGATTGAGGTGTATAAATGGTAAACAGGAATAAATAAAGGGAATGTAAATAGCGTGCTAAAAATATCTAGCCTAGACAGGACTCACAGCAATGGTTTTAAGTTGAAAAAAATCAGATTCAGGAAGGATATAGGAAAGCACTGGTTTGGTAATAGAGTCGTGGATAAGTGGAACAAACTCCCGAGTACCGTCATAGAAGCTAAGACGTTATGTAGTTTTAAAAATAGGTTGGATAAATACATGAGTGGGTGTGGGTGGGTGTGAGTTGGATTTGACTGAAGAAATGGTATGGTGATAATGACAAGATGTGGAAAAAGACATTTATGTAGAGTCCAATACATTTATTAAAGGAAACATTTCGCTACGAGTGACTTCTTCAGTCCAAATACAGAGATAACTACGAAAACGAGTATATATAGTGGCAGTAGTCAGGTGGAATGTCGCGTGGGTACAGGTAGTAGTTCTGGTGGTGGTAGTAGTAGTAGTTGTAGTAGAGTAGCAGTGGAACTAAAGTAAAATGGGTTGGGTTAGAGAAGAACCTGTTAACATGTTACAGCAGTCTCCAGAATGGGTAGTATCCTGTTGATTAGCACTTTAGGGCAGTTTCTATGCACTTTTGCAGTCTTAAATCGTCCCTGTGTTGAACACGCGCGTTCTTAAGGCATTTCTACAAGCATTATTGTGTTCTGTGATCCTAATGACCAGAGATCTGGGCGCCGGGTCACTATCTGGAAAAGACCCGGGCCGGGACAAGACCGGCGAACCTACTACAATGTTACACCCCATATGCTTTGTCACACACCCCACATGGTATAGTGTACATTCCTGCACTTGTGCCAGAATCATGCTTGGGTTTTGTACCAGGTTCCTAATAGTAGTTGATGAGCTGGTAGTCCGGTAGTTACAGTATCTCAGCATTACTAATCAACAGGTTATTAACCATTCTCGACACTGTTGTAACATGATATCAACAGGTCCTTCTCCAACCCAACCTATCTAACCACATTAGTTCCACTACTACTACCACTACTACCACCACCAATACTACTACTAGTACTACTACTGTTACTACCACTGCTACTACCACTGCTACTACCACTGCTACTACCACTACTACTACTACCACTGCTATTACCACTACTACTACCACCACTACTGCTACTACTACCACCACTACTGCTACTACTACTACTACTACTACTACTACCACCACTACTGCTACTACTACTACTACCACTACCACCACTACTACTACTACCACCACTACTACCACCACTACTACTACCACCACTACTACCACCACTACTACCACCACTACTACCACCACTACTACTACTACTACTACTATCACTACTAGTACCACTACAACTATCACTACAACTACTATCACTACTACCACCTCTACCCACGCGACGCTCAACTGACTACTGCCACTATATACACTCGTCGTCTTAGTTATCTCTGTATTAGGAATGAAGTCACTCGTGGCATAATATTTCCTTTAATAAATGTACTGAACTGTACGTAAGTGTCTTGGACCTGACTAGCTTGTGCTAATAGGTCTGATGCCGTGACCCTTCCTTAAGTGGATGTGACCTGACCTGATTAGGTGGGTCATTGATCCAAGCTGGGAGGTGACTTGGACCTGCCTCGAATGGGCTGCTGCAGTGTTCGTTCGTTATGTTCTTATGTGTACTCACCTATTTGTGCTCACCTATTTCTGGTAGCAGGGGTCGAGACTCGGCTCCTGGTCCCGCCTCTTCAATGATCGCTACTGGGTCCTCTCTCTCCCTGCTCCATGAGCTTTATCATACCTCTTCTTAAAGCTATGTATGGTTCCTCCACTACCTCACTTGCTAGACTATTCTACTTCCTGACAACTCTGTGACTGAAGAAATACTTCCTAACCTTCCTTTGACTCATCTGAGTCTTCAACTTCCAACTGTGACCCCTTGTTTCCTTGTCCCATCTCTGGAACATCCTGTGTCTGTCCACCTTATGTATTCCTCGCAGTATTTTGTATGTCTTTATCATGTCTCCCCTAACCCTCCTGTCCTCCAGTGCCGTGAGGCCGATTTCCCTTAACCTTTCATCGTAGGACATTCTCCTTAGCTCTGGAACTAGCCTTTGCACTTTCTCTAATTTCTTGACGCGCTTGACTAGGTGTGGGTTCCAAACTGGTGCTGCGTACTCCAGTATGGGCTTGACGTACACGGTGTAGTGTCTTTAACGATGTGTGTGTGGGGGGGGGGGGAGAGGGAGTAGGTAAAGGTGTGTATGTGTATATGTGCGAGCGTGCGTGCGCGTATGTGTATATATAAATTTTCTATATTTACTCTCTGACTTCCTCAAATTCCACCTGCTTTTACTCTCACTAAAATTTGATGGATTTCACGTACCATCATTCATTAAAATATTCAGAAAAGTTACACTGCTTAAAACACGATTAGAAAAACTCGAAGAGAGAAGCTTAAATTCCAGGCACGCCTTGAGTTAAGCACCAGTAATGCCTCGGCTGTATGCTTCTCTCCACTTAGCTCCCAATGTCTTTCCATCTACGTTTAAGTGTTTCTTTCCTCGTAGCTTACTGTTTCTTGCTTCTTCGGTTTAAATGTCTCGCTTTTTTTTAGTATTTAAAAGCTTTAAATATCTTTGTCTTTCTAGCTTTTAATGCCTTTTACGTTGTCTTCTCAAGATTTTGCCTCATAGCATTTGTTGTCCGCTTTATTACTGTTATATACGTAAACTTATAGAATTAAATGTTTCTCGCCGTTTAACTTGAAATATTTCTTATCTTATAGTTTTAAGTGCATGCTTGGCTTATTAACTTTATTGCATTAAATACCTCTTATCTAGGATTAAATGCTTCTGACAGAGTTTTGCTTTTCAGACTGTGTATAGAAAAATGTTCCAATAATATTTCATATAGGGGATAAGTATATATACCGAGTAGTGCACAGCTGTGTATACCCGTTGAGAGTGAATATCTCAGTGTCGTATATACACCGAGAAAGATATATCTGTGCATTACACCCCGATAGGTGTACATCTCTTAATTACGTTTACACCGACAGGTGTATATGTCCCCGTGTATATACATTAAAATGTATCTCAAGGTATACACAGAAAGTTCATTTGAATCCCTAATTCAGTGATTAAAGTACTAATTGCTGCTGGTGAAAAGGTGACATGTAGTCTTAGTGGCCATCGTGCTGTTGATAAGTTTGAAACCTGATCAAACATCACAAACACAGGGACCAATAGAAGGCCTGTGGCCCCTTGACCGTAGGATTGTTCACCAGTAAAGAATTGATTACAGAATAATACAGACGAAAACCCAATATCAAAAGTAGTTTTATCTTTTTATTCCCACAACCAGTATTTATAATATGTAAAGAAGGCAGATACCATACTAATAAGTATTATAATGAAAGAGAGAGAGGGAGAGAGCAAAGTGAGTTCACTCACTTTCATTGGCTTTTAAACTCATACAGAAGAGGTTAGTATGTGTAATCAGTCAAAGCAAGTGAGAGACTGACTCCACACAAAGGGTGTAAATATTACCTCGCTTACATTGGTTTAAAACCTATGACCATTTACCGTACAGTTGCCCATGTGTCCCCAGTCACAACTGCACAGTACATAACTACCAGCCTGCATGACTAGAGGA